ACTTATCGCTATCCATTTTGGACAGGAGCAACTAAGTCGCCATATATGACTACCGAAACTGAAGAGAAGACCACTTATCGCTATCCATTTATGAGAACAACAACTGCGATGCAGAGAACTCCTCGCTATTCACATTGGCCAACTGAAAATGGGAAGACGACCACATATCGTTATCCATATATGGAAAAAACAACTCCGAAGCCGTGGACTCGTCGCTATCCATATCCGACCACCCGACGTTATTCATATCCGACCAGCCGACGTTATCCATATCCGACTACCCCAGATACAACTTGGTGGTGGTAATTTTGACATCGTATTAGTCGATAATTGCTCTTTTGGTATTGTGATCCTTGAACCATCAAATTATTGCGGCCTTGAACATCCTAACAAATCATAACGGGAGCTGACATACGCTAAGATCAGTTTTCTGCTTGAATATCCCGAATTAAAGCATTTTTCTGTCAACAACTGAAAATCTGTCGCAAAAGGAGTTTATTCGTCCTTTTTTTCCACCTCTTAATTTCTCAGCCTTAATCGTTTCAGTAATTTCAATGTCATTTCCAAATATTTTCATTCCTCAACGCCCTAATCTACCCTCATATTCAATTCGTAAAATTAATATTTCTTCCTAACAGCTAAAATTCCATCGTCTTCAAATGATTTTGTAGTGGATGCTTTATTTTAATTAATATTTCGGATTAATCATCAATAAAAAGTTAATTGTGCATGTTTCCGATTGATTCGTTTCATTGCTCAACTGTAAACGTCAGCGGATCAATGTTTTCCCCGATTTCAGAACACATCAATTTGATTTGTATGGTGGTGGAATTAGAGCAGCCTATCCGAAAGGCATCAGAGTGTGATCTTATATTAGCGGATCTCCCGTAAATGTCATATTTCACTCTGAACTGTTGACGATTACAAGTTCAGCGAGTTTACGACTGTACATTCGAAGCATTTCGTCTTCCATTTCAACGCTTTTGTGAATCATTCACACATTATCAAATGTGAGCATAAGAAATCATCGAACATTCCATCCTTTTGTGGCGTGAGCAGGCAATAGCGAGTGATTTGCGTTTAATGTTTGATTGCATGGCATGAATTTACTTTGGAATGAAGAAAACTGCATTACAAAAAAATACGACATTGAGACGTTCTTTTTTCTTAAGCACTAATACCGCGAGCCAGGCATTCAATTAAATAACTTGAAAGATAACGCTCAACCTAACCATACATAATATCAAAAAAAAAACCGCTCTATCAAAATACATCTTCAAGCATTTGATGTTAAACAATTGCTTATCTGATGACTACACAGCTACAGTTGACTGCGCTCCGCAAAAGGACAATACCAGAATACGAAAATAATGCATGAAAATAGAACGAATATCTTGAATTTACGGCAGTGGGATTTACTGCAGTCTCATTTGCACTGTGCCACAACGTGAATTGAGATTTGACTTACCCAAAAGAGTACTCAATAGGGAATATTTTTGAGCATTCGATTACGACGGGTTATTCCTGAAGTTCCATTCGGATTCGATGAATTTGATCCAATAACTCTATTTTGATCGGATCAACACTGTCATCAGGCTTCATTTCACACAATCCGCAAATTCGAAGGTCACATCTGATGTCATGCAACGGCGGTTAGGGACTAATTCAGTCCGCATCACAGAGACGAACTTGATTTTGAAAATTGTCTTTGTTACTTCACGACGCTCGAGTGAAACTATCTTACCTAATATTTTGACGAAATTTTTTCATGTATTTAATTGTGGTAATGAAAACATATATGTATGAGTGGAGGAATTCTTCTTCAGTGATCATTAATCAATGCTCTCCTTCTCAGTTTTAAACCTCTCATGTATTTGTGTCTGTTAGGGGATTAAAATTCCTTATCGCATGTAATGCCTGAATATTCCACCTAACAACTGTGATTATGTCATGATTGATTGTCTCAAATAATTTTGTGAGAGAACCGATTCAAAATAAATGAAAAAAAACGCTGATTTGAGCACTATCTTCACCCCATACTTTCTATTACATGAATCATTCTTCGAATGGAATGTTTGCTGTTTCCACACTGATATGAGCAAAATGGTTTTGTCAACAAGCGCAGATGTTTTTTTTTTATTCGGGAGAGATGAACTTATACGGTACAAACTTGATAATATATTATGCTCTATATTCAACGTCTCAATTCGATGGTTTACTTGTTAATTACCATTGCCGGCATTTCAATTATTCATAACTGGCATGTATGTAATCATTAAAACGGTATCAGGAGGAAACTTGCGAAAGAAAATTTGTTGTTCTGTGGTACAAATCACAATCAAACAAACTATAGTGCTATTTTAATGTATACTATTGATCTATAGTAATACAATGTATTTGAAAGAGTGGCTCTGCGCTAATTGAGATGGCTTTAGAAAAATAGCTATATCTCCTCAAGAAAGCAGAATCGCTCGGCAAAATATATATTTTCCAGATTGCAGAGGTTCCGCTGAATGGAATGGTGTACGAATATTCATACGCTATTGGTCAAACTTGAGGACACGGTAGGCTCGAAGATTGCAATCAGTATATTGAAGTATCAATCATTGAGAAAATAGCTGCATCTTCTCATCAAGTGATAATTGCTGAGCAAAATATGTGATATTCTGAAAGTAGAGATTCTGCGCAATCGAATAGTGCAAAGGAATTCTACTTCATAACTTTGGCTATGTTCGTGTACCACTAAATGGGTTAACAGTGGTCAAAACATCAGTTGGAGCCTCAGGCACGATGAACTACTCACCAGATCAGTGGGTAACGAGAATTCTAAATTTTCAGATAGCGAAGGTAACCCAATTTTTAAATTCGTGAAAGCGAAGAGAGGTTTTTCATACTTTCGAGAATCAAAAATTCTCTATAACTTCAATGCTGATTTAGACCCTCGTCATTGCATGTCCTTACCATCCAGCTTGCACTTCTAAAATTTTCTTTTCTCATATAGACAACGAATTGCTTTTTTGCAAAAGTTGTCAGAAAACTGTTTCATACAACGAAGGATATGAACGATTTGCGTCAGCACGGTTCGACTGTAATGGCTACAAGACAAAACATTTTGTTATTTTTGCGATTTAGGAACAATGTAAACAGTATTTGACGTTTGATGAATTTTCAAGAACTGTAATCTGATTTGTAATTCAAGATGGAATAATGCAAAGATAGTTAAAAATAGACTAGAGTACGGTCATGGTTTGTAAATGCACTCCGCGTTCACATCCGATGAATGTATGAATCGGAAATTTCACTGAGGAAATTTCGCAAAAAAAATTTTTTTTCACAAATTCCACAAAACTTCTTTTTCGATCTGAAATTGACTAACGATAAGACTGCTTTCAACAAAGTCATCAATTTTTTCAAGCGCATAAAGTGACTAGACACTGTCGAGGATCTTCTCATGTGTAGAATCTTGCCATCCTATAATCAGCGTTGAAATATTTATTGACTCAGCTAATTAATGTACATTTCGCATTTTGGCCTCTTCAAGATCAGACTGATTATCACTGTTCATTGCTATTCTCATTCATTTTTCGCCAGGCGTTTTGCATATAGGGCTATTTGTGGAAAATTCCATGTATTTATTTATACAACGATTTTCATGCGATTATATCCATCCTTTTACTGCGTCTTTTCCTTACCTTTTCAGTAATCTTGTTATATAGTTTGTAATGATCTTCGTTCCATGACGTTATTCTTCACTCCAATCCTGCTGCTTTCTTGGATGAGATCTTTCGGCATTGTCCTTATCCAGTTGCAATTGTGAAAACTAGGATAATGTCATCATCAAAATTGAGATTGTTTAGCGTTTTACCATCATTTTGATGCCCTTATTCTGCCAGTCTAACCCGTCAAATACTGTCTGCAGGCAGGCATAGAATTCGGCAAAATCGTACCCACTGTCGGATCCCTCATTTTGAATTGAAAGAAATTTTGGTATTTTTCCAGTGTACGGCCGAATTAGCTACTTCATAAATTTTCGGTGCTACTTTGATGATTGAATAATGGACTGAAGCCGACTGTGGTGAAATTCACACGGCGATTGTTTCCACGTAATCGAATGCTCATATATAGTTAACGAAGCGCAAATGCAGTAAGAAATTTTATTTCCTGGTCCCTTGTGAATTTCATGAATTGTTGAATATCGTGGTCTGAAACCGGCTTATTCGTCGTCTTGCACTGCACTGAGTTACGCTTGTATTCGGTTCTTAGTCGTCTTGATGAAACACTTGTACGTAACGTGCAACATCAATACTGGTCGATAAGTTTTCATTTGTTTGGATTGCCATTGTTGCATAAAAGGACTGTTTTTGAGTCTCCAAATACGTTTGAGCTCGCCGTTTCTTTGATGTTGTTGCTGAAGAGGACGGCGAGAGGAGGGACGACAAGGTCTTCTGCTAGTTTCAATGCTTCTGCTGGTATGCCGTTCTATGATACCAAAGTTCCTGCTTTCATCTGCTATGTTGCATGTTCTGCTTCTCCTTCCGGAAATGGTACAGAATCATCATTATGCTTCTCTATTTCAAAAATGACATTTGTTCTACTTCGACATAAATTATTTTAGAAGCAGACTGCCCCATCACCGATTTCCCTTGTAAAGTGCATTATCTCTCCATTGTTATTCGCCACTTCAGTCAGTCTCTCGCTAGCATGCATCATTTCATTCCCTGATCTTTTCAGTCTTCCCGTGGAGATAGCTTTCTTCAAAATTTACATATTTTTCACTCTTCTGCTTCCGTGAAATTTCTTCATTATTGTTTTGCACATTA